ATTCCTGTTGGCAAGCTCAGGGAGCACTGGCAGATAACACCTGTATTAGGTACTCTGAAGCAGACACTATTTAAATTTCACAGGGTTAAACTCATTCACAGGGTCTCCTCATTAACCTGTAATGAGATAAAAGGACAAATTGTCCTTCTAACCCAAGAAACATTAAACTAATGCCACGGGAAACATGAAGGGTGACAAGAGGGGCTCGTCACGCGGCTCCTCCGTGCATCCCACAGACAGACACGCAGGCGAGCGCCCCGGGAAGCGGCAGCGACGTGTCAGACGATGGGCGAGTGTGGAAATGGCTGCACGTAGCTGCTATCACACCTACCTGGCGAGAGGGACAGCTCTGGCACTTGGCAGGTTCCACGCAGGCAGCGTTGCTCCTTCTTTTAATCCATCCAAGTACAATCGCGTGCCTGAATAAGCTCTTCTACAGACCTGCCCTCTTTCCAACTTGGTCTGTTTGCAGGTCAGGGCTTTGCAATCATTTCGTTATTTCAAAAAGGGTGTAAAAATTTTATTAGGCCACAATTAGTGATACGTAGGGAAAAGAAGCCCAAACAAGAAAACTAACAAGGACTTGCATACAGCAGCACTGGCAAAGGAACCTACTGTAGGAAAGGCTGCGCCTTACACTGTGAAGAAATTCAAGCCAGAGAGAGATTTGACATAAGCAACGCACTGATCTATCACCGCCTTCCTCGGAGCCCTCAGATGAAGGATGCCCACCACCACAGAAGACATGCCCTCATGAGAAATTCCACTAGTTCAAATGCTATTAAACTAAAATAGCATACCCGATTCAAAGCAAAGTTTTAGTTTAAAACGGCTCCTGATTACCTTAAGCTAAAACTCCCTGAGAAAACCATGCCAACCAAAACAAGGGCGCTCTTCCAGAAGGGAATTGCACCTGTTTAACAAGTAGTTTTATTAAACTGGTGCAATTTGTTCAAGCTGAAGGAGAACTACTGAAGAAGAACTAATATGAACAGCGAGTGAAGAGGAACAGAAAAAAATCCCCACAGAATAACCTCAAGAAATAGAAGTTCTGCAAAACTGGCCAAAGCACAGATGCCTACAGCATGTGACAAGGTTTTTCCATCATCTGCTCTTTCCCCAAACCAAACCGATGCAAAAGTAAAAAGCAAAAAGAAAAGGAGTAAGTATACCAAAGAGGGAGTACCTGAAAGCCCGGGATGTCCTCTCATGTACAAGCAGCAAAGCTGGAAGCCAGAGGGAGAGGCTGTGAATGGGAAAGCCACAAAATACCACGTGTGAACATGCTCACACAGATCTGCAACGCTGGAGATTTGTAGAAACTCATTTCCAAGGAGAATTGTTTTAAATGGACTGGCAGTTACCACACGAAGTCCAGAGCGAGAGAACCATGACACAGCAAGGACAAAGTGGCAGACATCTAATCAAGCTTTATAGAAGTTGGGGCTGTCCATTCAGCCCCAGCACTAAATAGCCTCATCCCAATCAACACTGCTATTTTTAGTTTTCTAAATAATCCTGTCCTTTACAAAGAAAAAAAAAAAGAGGCATTACCCCCTCCATTTCTTCTCACCAAGCTAAAGATCTTTCTCCAACCAGACAAGGAGTTAATGAATCTCCATCCACTGTTCAACACTCCAGGCATATGGCAGAAGTCTCTGCTGGCCTCAGACTAGGAATAAGCAGCCTGTTGATCCCCATCTTCTCACTGCTGCCAGCAATTATCACAAAATGACTTTATTGTGCATGTAACAGTTGGTGACACAAACTCAGGGAGTTTAATCAGCTTCTATGCTACAGGTTTCAAAACATCTGCTTGTGGGAAGGCACCCTGCTGCTCACCAGCCCAAGCGAGCTGGACTTCTGCAAAGCCGTCAGGAGAAACTGCAGCCCTTTGTGCAAGACAAAGCGTCAAACACGGGCGTCATCCTGACCTTGGCAAGCCAGGGCCAGTAATGGCAAATCCCAAGCAAAACACCCTGCAGGGCAGGCCCAGGGACAAGCCCCGGGCAGGGGGGTTGCTGCACGGCAGGTCCCAGCGCACGAACGCGCTGTCCGGGGCCAGGGGAGGACGGCCAGACCGGCCAGACCTCCAGAGGAAAAACAGCACAAAGGGAGCACGTGGAAAAGCAGGAGGAGGAAAACAAAACGTGCTTTAGTAAGAGATGCGGCTCAGCTGTGTAGGTTTAAGAGACACATGCAAATATGCTTCCTCCAAGGGTAAGAAAGATGTAAAGGTTGGAAGAGGAGGCTAATGAGTTGTACTCATCTACACTCTTCCATCCAGCCCCGAATGGCACTTCGACACAGGAAAGCGTAGGAAGCAAAGCTCTTCACTACAGCAGTTGTAGCATTCACATTGTCTCCCTGAGGACTCCCTGGGCACAGCATGATTTCCTACAACCCTCCATCATCTATATTTTAGCACAGCAATCTCAGCGAGTATCAGAAACGCACAGTGACTTAGGGGGATTGTGCGGAAATGTCTCTTCCACCCTGTGAGGCTGTGATATAGAGTAATGGAAGGGTTTGATCCTTGCCTTTTGATCACCAATCCAGGCAGTTACTTGGAAGTATGTACTGCTTCTTCAGACATCTTTAAAATTATATTAGCTCTTATTACAGCAATATAGCAGACCTTAAATTCAAAGGTAAGCTTTGTGCGGTTGTACATTCCAATGGGCTTCGTATCAGCAGCTTCTTCCCACTAGTATGATTCCTTCGGTTATCTCAAGAAGAACTACTATGCTGCAAAAGACTGGAAGTTAGAGATTCTTTTTCTTTCACATAATCTGCAGCATTAGCCTCATACTGCAATAACTGGAGAGGTATTTGTAGAAAAGTATCAGGGCTCAGGAGGGGAAATTAAGGTGTTTAAATGAAAGTTCTGCAAGATGCTATTTTAAGAGGTCCAATGTCAGCACGACCTCCGAGGGCTAGAAAGAAAGGCTACTGGAAGGCTATGAAACAGACTCCAAAAAGGAAGTAGCAAACTGGTGATTTAAAAGATAAAGGATTTTAAAACTACCTCTGGCTATTTAGCAACAATGGTTCTCAGGAATGAGCCAGCTAGAGCAAATCCTGGACCTTGGACAAAAATGTATTGGAAGCTTGGTTCTTAATTTTGGGAAGGGGTGTAACGACAGACCTCTTCTCCTGCGTGGTTCACAGAGAGGAAGGAAAAGAGCACGTTGTTCTTCATGTCTCAGCTTCCCTTGGCTCAGTGTTACCAGTCAGCTTTACCCATCAGACATGGGAGCCACCTTCTCCTGCAGTACAAAAGACTTTAAACTTAGAAATGAAGAGACTTCAACCCCCCAAAAAAATGTAATTCTGAAATGCTCAACAGCCTTTAATTCATTATGAGCCTAGAGGCAGAGAAAAAATATGCAAAAAATACATCACATCCTTAATCTAGGGGGAGGGAAAAAAAAAAAAAAATCATTATTTTTATAGCACATAATCAGACACTTACAAATATATTTCACTGGAGGACGGGGAGGGTAGAAATGTGCATTTCCTAGTGCCTTTTCAATAGTCTGATGCACAGAGGCCATCAATATGGTCATTATAGATAATCTGCACAAGTCATTCCTAAACCAAAAAGCGGGATTTAAAAATAAACAAAAAGGGAGAACCCCTGCAACAAGGAAGGGCAATCTACAGTTCCAGGTTCACGTTTAAACATAACTCAGCATCTGAATATGGGGCGAGAAAACACACTTTGTTTTTACAATATAAATAGTATTTTAAAAAGGTATTACATATGAATACAGCAATAGCGCTATTTCAGTCAGGACTTCAACATGCAGAGGAAATTCCCCAGTACTCACAACCACTCATTCCATCCCACCCTTCCCCTCCCACCTCCAAAAAAAATCCTCTGCTGTTTAAATTCTCTTTCAATTGTTTTAAATATTTCTCTTGTGGCCTGGCAACATGCTTATTCTTTTATACAAGCAAGTCATCTATTAAATCATGTCTTAACCGACAGGAGACAACTATGTAGGAGTAACAACCGAGGCTTTTAAGAACCTTGCCAATTTTTAAAACTTTTATTAGTCTCAGTTTGTTTTTATTCTTGGAGACATCTATTGAAAACGTCAAAAACTCAGAAATAAAAAAACCCTGTTTCAAACATCTTACAAACACGCACGCGTGCACACGCGCACAGACACGCACACACAAAGAAAATAACCCGTAGCAGAGGCAGTAAGAAATAAAGGGAACTCCAAATCTCTCAAGGGAGAACACGAACCAAAATTAAAAAAAAAAAAAAAAAAAAAATTGCTTTATTCTATCTCCACTCTTTCACTAGGACAGTTTAATATCCATCGAGTCTCTTAAGATGCTAATCTACCATCTGCTAGCCCACAAATCCTTCCCACTTATTCCCTTAAAGATCCAGCTACAGCATTGCTTAAAAATCTCTCCACAGAACAATGACCACCCTTGCAAGGGGGCTTAAAAAAAATTTATAAAAAAACGAGAATATTGTCTCTTTCTCTCCAGCAATTTCAGGGAATTAAGTGGCAAAGATTGCTGTGCAGCGTTCTGGATAGCTCTGCTATCTCACAGCGGCTTCTGCCAGGCCAAGGCGTTGAGGTGAGTGGTACGATGTGCCCCTGCCCCCCCTCACCCAGACACTGTGGAAGCCACGTCCCCTTTCCAACTCTGGACTAGGGCTGCCTTTCTCTTTCCCTCTGAATTGACAGAGGTCCTCCAAAGAGAGTGGAAGACTTTCCAGTGACTTCAGCAGGGCTTTGGATCAGGCTCTTTTACAAAACACTGCTCCACAACAGATCTTCAGCGGAGGTGATTTTCAAGTGTTCAAGTGGGAGCTGCCCACTCAATTTCAGAATTTGTTTTTGCCTTTAATACTTGTTCAGTTCTCAGTGAACTGAGTCCAGTCAAATGAAGGGCTTGCGTTCCTCTTCCCCAGGAGTAACTCAAAGGCTCAGTCTTTACTTAAGTAAAGGATGTCACACCAATCAAAGATGTTTGGGGAATTTCTTCTTTAATAAGATAAAAGAAAAACATACAAACACCTCCCAGGCTTCTGTCATGGAATGATTCTCACAACTGTAAGGAGCACAACTCAAAAAAAAGAACAAAACAAAACAAAACCAAACCAAAAAAGAACAAACAAACAAAAAAAAACCCCAACAAAAACGAAACAACCAAGGAGACAAAGAAAAAGGTTCCTATGGGAGACATGCCTACCAGAGAGCTAGAGCAACCCCTCGATGCTCTAGTCTGCAGTGGGGAAGGGGGATGGCCCGTAAAGGAACTAACACAAGAAGCAGCAACAGAACACTTGCCAAAACGGAGTGGCATATTGTAACTGAAAGCCATGCTGATTTTAAACTAGAAAGCAACTGTGATGGCAAAGATGGGGAAGGAAGATGACAAGAATGACCAGAACCTGGCCATTTCTTCCTTAAGTCCCTTCCTGGTGACATGGCAGAAATGCACACATCTATCACATGTCTTTAAGAGAACTAACGGTAAGAAACATCCCAGCTGTGAAACATTTCTTTCCCCATCTTCCCAGCTTACAAAGAAGATAGTGTTTCTTTACAAAAAAGAACCCAGAACTTTCCAGGACATCTGCTCTTGCTTGCTCTCTCCCCGCTGTAATATTAGTCACATTTCATCTGGGGGTGAAGGGGGAGGATGTTGTTTATTTTCTGTTTTAAAGCCATAATCTAGAAAAATGTTTTGTGGAAACTTTTGTTTTCCTATTTTTGTTTGCCTTTTTTTTTTTAATAATGCTCATTTATAGAAAACTTCACAAAGGAGACGTCTATGTACAGAAAACACAATTCCAAAGGCTGCTTCAGTAGTCAATGTAATAGCACCTTTAAAGACAAAAGAGTTTGACATATTTTAAAAAGTCATTTTGTTTAATTTTTAACCCTTTCCAAGCCTCCTAAAAAGGAGCCAGTCACGAAGCTCCATTAGTACAAACTCTTCCAAAGTCTCCATGTGAAATGCTGTCTGAAGATTTTTTCAAGCTCCCTACTCTATGGGTCAGCAATGTCTGGCAAAGTAGAGGTAGCGTGCAGCCAGACAGGATTTTCTTGCAGTCCAAACCAAGAGTAGATGAACAAAATTCACAGCAGGCTATTGCACAAGGATGGTCTTCTATTCCACAGTTTCCTGGTTATTTTTCCGCAGACTTGAAAAGGGTTAATTTAGAATTTCTAATTAATCCTGGTTAAAACATGTTGCTCTGAGTTCCAGGCTGGTACTGTGTCTGCAACAGGCTCTCCATAAAGGCCAAATAATCTGGGTTTTGTCCGTATTCTTCGGGATTTCTTGAATTCCCCAGCCGGGGGCGTTTGGCTGCTCTCACTTCATCTCCCGAAAATACATCTTCCTGAGGGGCCCCAGTGCTGAGGGACTGCAGGAGACATGAAAGTACAATCATTAGAGGCACAGCAGGAAAACAGGGAGACACACGGGTGCGAACCGTGGAGCACGGCTGTGTAATAAGACAGCAGGGGCAGCAAGTGAACAATTTGGTTCAGAGTACTTCTGCAGAAAAAGTGAACTCTGAAACATGTAAAACACATGGCTGAAATTAAAAATTCTGGGCTTCTGAAACCAAACTGCAAAGAGAAACCCTCAAGTTGCCTTCTTTTTGTTTCAGAACATCTTTCACTTCAGCTCCAGCTTTGACAATTCTCTGTTTGCTCCTATCCTCCTCTGCCTCTTCAGGTTATTCATTCCTAGTAGAAGGCACAGAGGAAACTGGGGCTTCTCTAATGTCTTTTAAAAACAAGACCCAAAGAAAGCATTTGGGGATCATTGTACGAACAGTTGCTTCTGTCTTGCTCTTACACTCTCAAATAAGATGCATTTCTTCGTAGAAATTATCATCTATTGCTTTGTTCCTTTGTTCTGCTGTACTACGTTAAAGCACTGTGAGCATCACTTCCACAGAACACAATCTAACGCTTCTGGCAGCAGAAAATACACGAGAATAGCCTGAGCTTTCAATCAGACTTGAAACTTTCCAGCTTGCATTCCTTTCTCTGCAACTGTTATAAAACCTGATGTCTCCACTGCAGAAAATGTTTCTTTCCAAATCCCGTATTTCAGGGCTCTAATACGTTGTCTTAATTATTAGACAAGATTAAATACACTGGAATATCGTGCACATCTTAGAAATTAATTCTAAGGCATTTCTTTGCCACCAGAAGTCTTTTGGGGATAACAAGGTAAATTATTAACCTCTAAATTTATCCCATGAGGTCTTGCTGAGATAAACAACCTCAAACAAGATGGAGAAGCCATCAAGAGTCACATTACAGAAAGCATCTTACAAGTGTTTTGGGGCAAACCCCTTGTTTCCTTATGCAGGAAATCTTCCAAAGTTTCCTCCAAATTGTCATCAGTTCTTCCACAGAACTGCCTGCCACGAGGCCATTTTTGACGACGTGCACCTCACACTTCTGCTAACACTCAGATTCACGGGGTCAGTGAACCACCAGTTTAACCTGGCACCGCAATTAATATATTCTTAATGGAAGGTTAGATCATCATCTTTTTGTCTCGTCAAAGAGACAGAAGCTCAGAACCGTATCACAGGTTCACTTTGTGGATCCATCCCTGTCCGGCAGTGGCTGACATTACAGACATTTAGAATGAAGAAGAAAACTGTATATCCTCCATTTGCACAGAAACCAGTCTCATCATTTGTTTAAACAAGATGGCTTTAAAGGTTAAAGCACCAGGTTTGAAAACACACAGCAAGTCTGGAACCAAAAATCTACAAAATAAATCCCTCATATTTGCTAGGCTCAATAATTCCATTGCATGCAGTTAAAGACAGGCTGATCTTTTAGATTAAGAGCTTTATAGGTAAGAGGTACATTCTCAGTCTCCTATTTGGTGAGAAATGGGGTTTGGTCCCATGTCACTAATCAGTTCTCCAGAAACCACTTAGCTGTAGACCAATTCCCCTCACTTCTGATGAAAGGCAATATTCAGACAGCATGGCAGTCCATGTAACTAAATTCATATGGTGTCCAGTGATGTGAACATAATCTTTTAACCAGAGAAAACAAGTTAGATCTGGTGAAAGGGAAAATCATTTAAACGCTTCTCAAGCATTTACATCACAGATTTCTTCTACTTTATGTATTTTGTGAATTACAAGTGGTTTTACAGCCACAGAAATTGGAGGTAGCATTCACCTAATGTCTAAACAATACACTAAGAAAATGTGAATGAGTACTGCAAACCACAGCCATTTTACTGTTTCTGTTACTTTGATACCCACCAGGCGAGACTTCACTCTCTTGGGAAGCTCTTCCTCCAAGGTATAAATATCACCACGCTTTACCATTAGCTGAGAACCATCTTCAAATTCAACCTGCAGGGTAGGCAGAAAATGAAATAAGAACTTGGCCCCTACATTTACAGTACCTGAACAGTCCATTCCCAGACTGTGATGTCACACATGGTCCCTTCACGGTCCCCTTCACACATGGGAATACCCGGGAAGCATCAGGGGCCGGCTCCCACGGATGATCCCCTGTTCCTGGCGCTGCCTGTCTCTAGGACTGCTGTTCAATGTGCATCCCTAAGCCGTGTTAAGGATGCTGAACTCCAAAGTGCTGGTTTCAGTGCTGCTCAGGCACCTCCCTGCCTTATCTGGCCCAAGTGGTTTCATTCAGTGCTCCTGTGGATCCTAAAATGTCTATACTGCATGGACCAGCAGCACTGCTCCCCCTTCCCAGTCAGAGCACTGAAGATTTCTACTGATTTCTTATTCAAATCCTGAAAAAAGAAGCTTTTCACTTATAATGAAAGGCAGCCCTGTATTCAGGCCACTATGGTAATAAGAATTTCTTTCATCTTAAACAAAGCATTTTCACACGTCACAAGAAAACAACTCCAGCTACTAAAATACATTTGTATTTTAACAAGCAGAAATAGTCAGCCAGGTACAAACGGTGGCAACTCCTCATGTCAAATCTTTTTTGTTAAGCACTGATTATATCATGAATTATGCATCAGGTGTTACAGGAATGTTTATTCATGGAAACGTGCATATAAAAATGTCGAAACTATTAAAAGTTTTTAAGATGTTCTCTTTCCCTTTGCTCAAGACTTACGACGCTTTTCTAGATAATGCAGAGGGTCACACACCACAGTTTAAACGGGATGCCAGGTTCAGACCGGACAAATTCAGAAGGAAGAAAGCACCTGTGCTCTGAACTCCTCCTGTGCTGCCCAGGTCTTGCAGCTCATCAGTTATGTGAGCTCCATGGCACCTGCTGAGGCCCCTTAACTGAGCAAACATCAGCTGGAGTAACTGTGCAGGTGGGAGAACAGGCTTTGAAAGATGAGCTCTGCTGAGGTGGTTTAAGATGCTACCGGTCCCATTACTCTCTGGTTTTACAGAGCACCGCTACCACAGCAGTGTCAGAAGGGAACACGAATTACCAAGTTTAACAGCCGAGGCACAAGCAGATTGCTGTCTGCCAGTTCCACTACATGAGCTCAACTTCTAGTAGCAAGGCAGGATTTGCAACCGAGGGCAATGCCAGCTTAAACTACCCCAGAGTGGTTGAGCCTTGCTTATTTAAGATTCAAATTACTGATACGGGTTAGACCCCTGTTATGAACACACATGACAGCGAGTTACAAGACAGTCATTTGGACTCAATTTTTTAAAAAAATATATACATCTAATTTTAGCACATGAAATACAGACTTAAAGATGGGAACTGGGAAGCTACAGCAAAACAAGACAAGTTTAAAATGCAAAAGCTAATCCATGCTGTCTTCCTACAAACACACTTATAACAAAACTATTTCTGTGTTTTAAAATATATTCCTGTTCCAAAACAGATGAAGAGATGCACCATAAGTACTGAAGAACTACCTACATAGGGAACCAATGTGGGAAGATATTCAGGCTATTTTCCCCATGGAGAAGAGCTTTACTTATAGGTAACTGCATGATTTGAAAAACACAGACTCCTCATGCATATTTTTTCTGTCATCTGGCACTATCTATCAGTGGAATAGCCTATTTCAAATTATTGTACCTTTGAGAAATCAATGACAATTTCCTATAGTGTGATTAAACTGGAAAGCATGCATAACAATAGATCTTTACAGAACTATATATTGTAATTATTCATAACCAGGGTCACCTCAGATTACATCTTCTCTGAAGCAGTTAACATCCATTATACACACCAAAAAGGTTGTTAACTGACAAGGTGGATTATTGTGCACTTTGCACACAGATATGAAACACTCTGTGTAGAAAGGATAGAAACCAGAACTCTGTTTCAAACAAATATAAGATACGGGACTTCCTTTGCCTTTTGTCCAGAGGCATTAATCTCTTAAAAATAACAATTATTTGCAAAGTTCAGCATATATTTTTCAAAAGGATATGCACAAAGTATACTTTCCAAATCACTATAATTTTAAACTTCTTGGTACCATTTAAAAAGGATTTAATCAAATGAATACACTGCATTTTATAAAACCTTCTGTGCTGAAATACTAACACTGTGTACACCAGGTTAAATCTTCCTTTACTGACTATTACAACATTCCACAAACAAAAATCCTGTATGTGGAACAGACTCAAAGACAAAAAAAACCTGGCTGTTTTTCTCACCTTAAAAACAGCAATGGTGAGAGTGTTTGAGACTAGAGACTGAAGGTTTCCAGTTCCTCACACAACAGCAACAGGACATTATTCCCACATGCTGCTGCTGCTCCACAAAGTATCTTCCCATGACCAGAAGATTATTCCCTGCCTTGAAGTAGTCTCCTGACCCATCGTTTCCCTTAGCTCTTCTCAAAGCATCAAGGTAAGTTGTAATTATGTAGATATTGGCTCATGTGGAACTACAGATGATGAGCTCAGCTCCAGCCACAGGATAGACATCAGAGAGTAGTTTGATCAGGTCACTTTTGACCTGAGCCGTAAGGAAAAGGGCAAATTTATTTTATATTTTAAAAGAAGATACAGTCTAGACATATATCTATCCATACGTCCACATTCTGCCCCAGAAAACCTTTACCCTGATCCTGTTTAAACATTATTTCCCTTCAGACTACCAGCAGCATTAATTTCAGCAGACAAATTCTCCCTTCATGACCAGAGCAAGCATTCAACACTAGTGAGCCACACAATTTGAGCAACGATCCTCCATGTTGCCATGAAGTACACAGGTACTCTTCCATACTCACCTGGTAAATCTGACTGATCTGGGCTGCAATAAACTTGGCCTTATAGATGATTCCATCTGTCCACTGCAGTTGAACCAATTCACCCTCTGGAGGGGGTCCCATTTGGATGCAGTCTCTGCTCTGAAGACACAAAGTGAAAGAGGTGAGACAGTCAGCACCAACAAAGCTCAGGGACTTGGGAAAGTGGAGTGTTAAAATCACTGCTCAAGGAAGTTGCTACATAACATATAACAAAGTGTAGGAAAAGTTTCTGCATTTCTGATTAATTACAGTCATCTCAAACAAAATCATTAACCAGTGAGAGACCAGAAATAAACACTTGTACCTCCCTTCTGGTGATAGTACTCAGTTCTAGGAAATTTCTCCTTACAAATCCCAAAACATCAGACCTCCTCTATCTACAAAAACAAGCTCGGCAACCTGCTCTGTTTCACATGGTGAATCAATGGCACAGTTGGGAAGAGAAACCACGAGTTGACAAGTCAGCGTCTTCTAGACATTCCTTCTATTAAGTGAATTCCCTATTTTGAACCAAAAGTGCTTACAGACAATCTGCTTTCCCCATGAATCACACTTGTCCGTTGAAAAGTAAGAGATTATTCAACCACAAAACAAAGAGGATGCAACTTAAAACAAACATTGCTTTCTGTTAAGTCATCTGCATATAGCAAAATCCCATCTTCGTAAAGGAACAAAAAAAATGAAATGAGATAATATCATAAACAAGAAGAACAGTAATGAAGAGCAGTATGAGTTTTTCTAAGCAAGCAGCAACTTTACTTTTTAATTATTTTTTTTAAGTTTTGCTTCATTGTTCCACCCCAAAGCACACAGAAGAGGAATACATGCATTATACTTTGTACTCATCTATAACGGTAATAGTCTCCACTGAGAGCTGCTTACAATAATGCTTTCTGGGTACACGTTGTCACTGTATGAACCATCATCAAAGTTTACTTCATAAAAAGTCTGTGTTGTCATGCCAATCACTTTACATCTGTAGTAGAGTCCATTCCGGTTCTTTGTGATCACAGTCTGTCCAAGTGTCACCTCCCTTCGAAACTGAATCTGTGTTACAGAGAAAAGGGAGTAATTTGCAATTTGCAATCATAAAAGCTGCATCATAAATATGGGCGCAGGGAAACTGTTCTACAAAACAAAACCGAACCAAAACAAAAACCCAACAGAAAACAAAACCCCCCAAACGAAACCCCATACATTCTGGTTAGCTGCTTTGTGTTTGAAGCAAGTGATGGACACGACGTAGGGCCAGTCATCTGGCTCCATGGGCACGCCGGCTGCGTGTGCGCAGGTCACGTGGAAGGACGTGGAGCAGTGCTCGTACGAGCACTGGATGCAGGCACCAGACACCTTCTTCATCCGTTTCCGACAGTACACACATTTCTGAAAAGAACCACAGGTCAGTGTTACACAGGCAACCAACAGCAGCTTTAACGCAACGTACGGCACCCTGTTAGCTGGCACAGCGGAAAAGTCTGTATTGTTGGTGTCCAGGGAAAGGCAGCCACAGCCAGGAGTGGTGATGTTTGCTGCTGAGGGGTCAAGTCCAATACCTCCAGAATAGCCTGGATCCACTTGCCTAGAATCACTCATACACCAGGAAGCTACAGCAGACACTAACTTATCATTCCCTCGAGCATGACAACATCTACCAGTAACTCAGCCCTCCAGAACCAGGCTGGAGAGGGAGGGGGGCTCAAATCCAGTTTGAGACATAACAGACAAACACCCACCAGCGGTGTTAGAGAACTGCTACAACTCGATACTCATCCTCCTTAGATACAGGAAATGTACCTATGGTAATTCAAACTGCAGCTGGATCTTCACAGACACACTGCTAGAAAATAACTTTTTCATTTTTTGAAAGAACAAAACACAGTGACTGTATAATAATTTGTCCTATTATATTTAATAGGACACTATACCTATTAGATCTAATGGAACACTATTTTATATAACAAAATATTGCATGTTTATTTTACACATGTAAACATATCAATCATAAATATTTTATTGGTATCCATGTCAGATTAGCTATTGCAGATAATTCAATCACTGTTTTGCAAACAGAAGAAATAAAAACATTGTATCAAACACCAGAATTACCAGGGAAAACCAGCATAAAGTCTTTCAGTATTTTTTAAACTGATTTTCTGCAAAGCAGATCCAGTTATTAGGCTAATCTAATCAGACCGCACTTAGGGGGAACACTTTAAAAAGAAACCTAAATTTTTTCAAAGATGAAAATCATAAGCCTTATGGCACTGTAGACTTGGCAGCAAGCATTAGGTGTCAGGTTTCCTCATTGCTTAACAGCACCAAATTCTTCTTTCCAACCCCTAAGAAATACATAAGACTGTATATTGGGAATCCCACTCTAAAGAAATTTAAGTTGGACGCTTGCATAATGTTTCCAGCTAACTATTTGGAAACACCATTTTTAGCTTTTAACATTTTAAGTCTAGGATCTGTCACTGATCACTGGCAGCTTCGCTGCCTTGTCCAAGCCTCAGCTTAAGATAAAGCAGGGAAAAATTAACATCACACATGTGAGACGAATGTGCATTTTACTTGTTAGAAGGAACGGCTCATAAATAAAACCCTGAGAGGTATTATGGTCACCCCCAAAGCACACACCCCGGCTTGCTCCAGCCACTGCCCCCCAGGTTTGACCACCCACCTCCCTCCCAATCCATCCACTCACCTAAACATAAATGTCCTATAAACATACTATGATACTATGAATGACAGATTCTTTTTCTCTCTGCAGCATCTGATATCAAACAGAGCTTTTCTTCCCCTCTTTCACTCTTCTTGGCCTCTCATTTACCTCACTCCCATTAAAGCAGCGCTCATGGTATGCAACATTACAGAACACAACCTAAATTTTAAGATCTGTATGAATTACTACATCCTATAGGATTAGAAAAGTAACATAAGCTGTGCAAGATGACACAATAAGCCAATACACCCCCCAGAAGTAGAAATTCACTCTGCTTCTAGATCGGAGCTATCTTTAAAGTGTACCCTCAAAAATACAGAGAGTGGTATCATATTATAAACTATCCAGTAAACACAAAAGAAGAATTGCCAAATCTCAGTGTTTTATTTGTGTTATCATAACTAAGAGCCAGGGCCCCACTGCGCTAGCTACAACACGTTGCCAAGACAAATAAAAGACCATTCCTTCTCCAAAGAGTATTTCTCTTCCTTGAAAGCAAAACATGCAAAAGAAAGGGAGATGCATTCTTCCCTATTTCTGTGCAACATCACCCCTCCCTGACTGGGGTCTGCCCCACATGTATATGAAATAAGTCAAATGCACTTCCTGTGAATTAACTGAAGTCAGTACGTTTACACCAAAGATTAATTTGGCTTTTTTACTTAAAATAACAAAAGCCAGGAAATTCAAAACCAGAGCCTTAGTGTTACCAGTATGTGTTTTTTAGTATTTAATAAGCTATGCCTTTATCACTCTGTAAACCATGTTCAAAAGTTAGATAAGCACCACAGCAAAGTGCACAGCAGGAACACAGCACTGAAAGCAAGTCAATAGCAATGAGATCTCATTATTAAACTGTCAATACCTAATTCTCCCACCGGCGGGGACAACTGCTGATATACAGCGTGCTCAATATACTTCTCAAGGGAGCATTAACCCTCCAGTATCAGGAATCTGCATTTATTGATGCGAACAGGATTCTTCCAAGCCAGAAAGATTAGCATGCACCTAATGACACTCCAGTGGCAAGACAAACTCCTCGTGACAGGCAAAAGAGCTTCACCAACAGAACAGTCAGAGCAAATATGATCAAAGGATAAAGAAAAATGTGAGCTACAGTGAGACTGAAATGTAGAAGGTGGTGGAAGGGGTGAAAATGCAGGAGATCTGGTAGTGTGGGAGATGGGGTGCACAGAAGCACCGGTGCCAAGTGCTGTGGGAAACCAGCCCGTGTAGATTTAAAGACAGTTTCTATGTGAGGGGAGGTAGCAGGAAGAGAGAAGGTCTAAAGCAGAGGAGAAAAATCTTCAGAATAAATGCACACAGGAGAGTCGGGTCATAGCTGAGAGTAAGAAATGGGCTGTCTCCTGCATGATGAACACTGCAATTCATTTACTCCACTGAGGAATGACAGCTAATTATTCCAAATTTCCACGTCATAAATAATTTATGTGCACAGGCCCGTAACACACCATTAATCAGGAAGAACACAAACTGCATTCTTTAAAATGATGCAATACCCACAAATGGACGGAAAAGCCTATGCTTGAAAAGGGAGGCCTGGTGCATGCTCAAAGAACAGGAGATGCTCTTTAAACAGATCACTGCAACTGCTTGCCACCTCAGCCCTCTCACAGTAACTTATAACAATACAAACATATAAAAAAAAAAAAAAAAACCACACAGATAATCTCTACCTCCCTCTTTCCTTCGTTACCTTCATCCATTCCCTTCAACTGTCCTCAACCTTCACATCATTCCTCTCTCCTTTTCCATCTTTTTCAACAACAAAAGCCATCTCTCCAATTTTATCTAGTACTGCATCAACTCTGTCATTGCCAAAGTCATCAGATCCAACACCACCACATTTTAGTCACCTTCAGTTTAACTTCCTAAATACAGCTGCACACCTCCAAAAAACAGACATTCCCCCAACTCCTCCACTGACTCCTCATGTGCTCCATGAATTACCTGCAAATTTCTACAAAGAATCCTAAAACTCTCCACGATGGCTCATGGGTGTTTCTCCACACAATCTTATCCAATTTAAATCTCCTTTCTGCTTCTTCACACACTCACCATTGCTGCTGCTATAAGCACCACTGCCTTTACATTCTGCCATCCAAATTAATTTTTTAAATCTTTACCTAGTTCATAATCCTAAAACCCATTTCAATTTTAACTCAAGATAACTTATTTGCTTTCTTTCCTGTAGCAAATGACACTCAAAGCCACAATGTATGTGGTGACAACATCAACTGTTTTCAACGGACATCGATGGTGTGTGCATACATACTGTAAAGGCATTCACAAGTATAGACCAACAGAGCAGAAAGACTTTTGTAATCGGTCTAAATACAACAATACCTACCCTGATGATATTCTTGAACACGGAATAATTAGGCTGAGAGTCTACTTCTTACATCCCAACAGCTGGGCTAGCTGTATAGGGGCACCAGAAATTTTACAGAGGGGTCACTCTACCATGCTGACAGAAACTCAAGACCAAGACCTGAACCTGTGTCCAAAACCACCTGGACTAGTCAATATGCCCTGCTGACAGGGTCATGAAACAGCATTCTACCTCTAGAAAAGTTACTTTGATTATGATGAAGCAGTGCACAGCACCATCCATGCTAACACTTTCCAAGTGAAGTGCTTAAAGCCAGGCTTTGTCAAGAATTGAGCTACGAGCCAGGCTCTTACTAGCTTCAACATAAGGAACAGTAAATCACATCATTAGACTGTGTAAGTCAAGGTACTTGATATAAAAATTCTCTACCCTTTCCTGAGGCATGAAGAAAACATGACGTGCGAATGGAATACGACGCTGAAGAAATCAACAAAACCATGAAGCTTTAATTCAGGAACAGAATGGAAAGACACGTAGTAAGTTTGTGCAAGGTTTTGGATGGCATAGGCAATGCTTCGGAGCAGAATGAAGCAACAGAGTTTTACCTATGTTACTACTGCCCTGGCTCTATAGGACTGTAAGGTAGCCACAGAAGAGTTAAAAGAATTAAGTCATGTTTTCTTGTGAGGCTCCATTAAGCAATAAAAGTGAGTCTTGTGTAAAAGGATTTTTAGTTCATCGTTGCAAGTGCTGGTAATGAAGAGGATGCATGCTGGAAATGTCAGATGATCCATAAAGAACCACTGCTGCAAGATTTATCACTCTCACATCACACCACTGCTCCATCACTCTACCTGAATAATGAATGCTTTTTACATTCACATTTGTGTACAAAACCCATTTGCACAACAGAGAAATAACTCTGGAAGCAGACAGAGATTCTTCCTCCACTCTCCTCCAGGCTGGGCTGCCTGCACTAAATAGCTGCGCCGTTAACAAATACATCAACGCTAACCAATGTATCACCGCTACATCACCTTCCCCCGTACCACACTCCCAGCTGTCACTCAGCTGACTTCTGTACAAAAAAAGCAGCAAAAGCACAATTTATTTTGCAACAACACACTATAGTGACGGGGCATTAACTAACATTAAGATTAATTGCTCTAAGCTAATGAATCATCCATTACTAATCCCTGAGATGAGGCTATGCAACTAAATAACAAGTTGGAGCTGGACTTCCATTAAAATCTTTGCAGAGTCTTGCCTTGCAGTCATGTTCACAAAGAAATGTTTAATTTCTACAAGAGCTTTCCTGACAGAAAAAGAGAAATATTGTAAAGAATGGCAAATCACATGACAGATGAGCAAGTCAGCAACATGTCAGCTTCTTTCTAGTTACCAAGACCCTTCACACTCCCGCTATGCAGTACTTTCAGCAAAAGAAGCTTTCGGGTAGTTTAGACGTGGCTGCCAGGTGGGTAAGCGTCCTAGGCTCTGCCCAGGGTAAGAGCACACTCCTGGGGAGTAAAGGTAGATCTAGTGATCACAACTTGGTGTGTCAAAGCACCGAGACAGCATAAAACATCCAAATGACACAGCTTCTTGGTGCATTTGTTGGAAATAAGCGCAAGAACATCACCTCCGATCTCAGATACTGTATGATCCCATACAATGTTTTTCTGTTTTCTTAAAGCCTTTTTCCTTTCCTTTTCTTTATGGCTCCTGCTCACAGACACTCTCTACAGGTAAAACACACCTACCAGTTTCCATCTCTGCTCTGGAATAGCACTGATATCCACAGGATGACGCTCTATTACATTGAGAAAACGGGCCTCAGGGACAGCAATAGCACAGATTATATGGATCCACCTGGAAAAAAAAGTGAAGAGACAAACCAGAGTCTACCATTACTTAAATTAAATACTCAGGAGGGCAGTTAACATTTCTCTGACTCCCTCAGTATCAAGGCATATTTATGGTGGTTGGCAGCCTTGGCAACATTACCAACTGATTGTTAATCACAGTCATACAAGGTAAATGCCTCTGGAAAAACAGGGATCAACCTTCTTATGCATCTGATCTTGCACGATGCTAAACTTTTCTCTTAGAATAAACCAAATTTAACCGTGTTCAGAGCCATGTTACCACTGCTATTGAGAAGCCTGGTGCAGAGTGTTAAGACAGAACAGTTACTCAAGCTCATCCTGCCAAGTCAGCGAATAGCAGTTACCTCCATAACGCCAAAACTGGCTGCTACACTGAGCATCAAGACCAAGCTCATGACACCAGAACATCAAATGTAGTATGAAAGGAAAAAAATACTAAAACCCATCACTTACCGCCCATCAGTGGTCATCTGAAGAGCTCCTCCCCTGAGATTACACAGGCAACATTCCTGTAGGGACAAAACTCCTTCAGAGCTGGACCAAAAAGCTCTGCCAGTCTGCCTATCCTTCCCCAAAAATGACTACACCCCATCTGGGATGCAAAGGCAAACTGTACCCTCCCACCAGCCATCTCTGGTGAAATATCAAATTGATTCCCACAGTAAGTTTTTTTTTTTTGTCTCCAGAGGAGTAGATGCTTACCGCTGCCCATGCATTGGCTGAGCACCGTGAGCAAGACCAACTTTCATTCACCAAGTCTGGACGAATTCCGTAACAGCCTGAAAAAAACAAAGTTATATCCTTCAGAGTTTTGCTAACATATCTGTAGTACTGACTTGTTGACTTTTTGATTCAGAAGCATCTCTGAAATCAGATGTAGCATTCAAATACCTATATTCAATGGTCTAGGCTCAGACAAAAGTCATAAGGAAAGTCATGTTTGGGAAGGGGAGCAGAATTTGGGACCAGGTCTAAAAAACAAACAGACAAACCACACACAGGTAACCCTCAACATTTTTTTTTTTCTCTTTTGTAAAGACTCCAACAGCAGCACTTTGATTCTTTAGGCAAGAACTGGGCTTAAAAGTGATGCTACTACTGCTGGAATGCACGCACACATCGGAACAGTTAAGACCACTGAATTTTAGCATGATTGAAGCAGTAATCTTTGCTAAGTGGTATTATGAGTAAGGACAAACCCAGTAATATTTCAAGGAAATTAAATACATGCAATTCACATTTTTAACAGTATTTACAATAATATTAATCTCTGGTTATACAAAGTGTGAGACACATCAGATTTTACAAAACTTCAATGCCTCTAACATGCAAGCACCCAATCCTCCTACATACTTTTCTGCAGCACCAAAGTAGTCAAGTGGTGTTATACCCCTTATAAAGACTGAGAAATAAGGCCAAAAAAGCCCTTACAATTCTGTAAAAGGCACTGAGGTTTGCCACTGAAGGCGATGGGGAAGACACACAGCAATAGTTTTGAAAAAGTGGATCTACGTGATTCCTGTAAGCTTGCAAAGTGAGTGGAGAATTGAACATATTGCAAATTGCTGGTCAGCGTCCAAGCAAAGCTCGTCTCATGGTCTTTACCTATCCTAACAAAACCCAACATAAAATTTCAGCTGGGAATGACAGTCTCAAATCACTGAATTAAACTTAAAAGAAGTTATTCAGAAAGCACTGAGATTGCCACAATAACCTGATTTATAAAAATCATCCACTTAACCAGATAAGCATTATGTCAAAAAAAGTCAATAATATAGATCCGCAGCTGTTTTCCACATCTGAAGTCTCTTTTCATCACATGGCAAATCAAGCAAGCAGATTCAACCTCAGTCCTAGAAAATGGGCAGTGGTGTCGAGCCTAAAAAACTGTTCTGAAAGAGAAACAGATACCCTCCACTGAAAATCTGCTGGAGCTCAAGATGGTGTAGAACGGGCTGAAATTTCAGCATTGATTTCTTGCATCAGGACCACAGGTAGCTGGACTATGGGATCTGAGGGGAGAAACAGCCACACACGGCCTACCAGATCGGCCTGTAAAGATGACCCTAACGGAACAAGAAAAGTATGCGCTTTTTATGGATTTTGTCAACACCTTAAAAGCCCAGAAACCTTTGCAAAAGCTTTCTTCTCTGTACATCCTTGCTGTTGCCATAACCAAGCACAGCTGGGCGAGGGCACGTCTCAATAACAAGTAGACTGCCAACTGGTTTTACAGCATGCTGCCAGATTAACCAAAATACACCTCAACACTGCAATCCTATAATAAAAGCAAATGGATTCTCTGCAGCAAAATCAAATGGATATCACAGTCTAGAAGTACAAACAGCGACGAGGAAACAAGATGACACTGGAAACTGTATCAGACTGGATTTAACTTCTGTCCTATCCTCAAGGGTAGAGCATAGCCAAAATAGTAAGCTAAATTCCTCTGCGTCCTGTCTGAGGCTGCAGATTAACATCACCTTCTGCCCCTAAATAGAGTTTGGCCACTGAAAACATTCTGGTAGACTGGACTATTGAAGGCATATGGATAAACAAGATGCAGCATCTCTGTTTTGACTGCAATTTGTGAAGCAAGAAAGCAGTCCTCATCCTCACACTCACTCTGCATCACATGCTTTTATTAGCCAGAAGTGACCATAATCACGGATGCAGTACAGAAATAAAAGTTGCATTCTACTTCTCCACAAGAGACAGTCATGCTGAGCTGCACTGTGACCTGCGGACTATAAAATTGGAACAACAAAAGTCATTCCAGCTGATGCAAGTTAAATAAGAATTCCCATCTGTCAAGATCAAAGAGCTGAAGAGTAATTCGTCACATTTCCTAGCACAAGTGCAAATGTTAACTACATGTCATACAATCTAGTGAAGGTACACTCTACCAGGATTAATCAGATCTTTTAGACATATCTATCAGGGAAACAAACAGACATATGTTCCTTTTTCTAATCAAGTGCCATCCCTACAAACAGTAACACAGACACTAATAAAATATATCTCAGAAACTACTCCATAATCTCCGATGCACACAAGAACAGTACAACCTTACCCAGCAGACCAATATTTGAACAAGTGAAAAGAGTGCGATCAGCTTTGTGATTTCTGCTTTATTACAAAAAATGAAAGATAACAAAAGAAAGAATCTTTTCTGTGAGACAGAGAAGAATCAGACAACAAAACAAACAGTAAAAACAGTATTTGCATGCATTTTTAAGATCACTGACTCCCAAGAGGGACTCTAATATACACACATACTAGTACCAGAAAAGGAAAAAGTGGGAGTGACAGGTATAGCAAGCATGCCAAGAAGGAATTCAAATATAGGCAACGTACAAACTTCTGAGTTTCTTAATACTCAAAACTCTTTGGTGAAGAAGGAAACACTCACTAGCATGAACCTGCAGGCAGCATTTGGCACAGGATATCAAGGGACTTGTTCCGTCTTCTCCGATATATGAATTTGAAGGAAGGGGCTCAGTGTTTTCTCCACTTGAGGTAAAGCACATCTCTGGGATCAGAGGCTTGGTCTTTTGTCCGCACTTAGAAAGGTGGACGAAAGAGGTGGTCTCCCCTACAGAGGCTGGGACAGCTTCTTTATCCATCTGTAAGGACTTAAAGAGAAAATATCATATGGAATCACCTCTTCCCTGGTCACAGGTTTAACTTGAAAGCCAGAGCACTCCCCTTGCAAAAAAAGTCATCCAACATCTAACACCATCAAGCACAAATAATTAACTTTGAATCCTGTCTTCTCGTGCACACCCTCACCCATGCCTTTTGCTCCTCTCTCGCTTCTTTAGGCCTGTACTCAGATCTGTAATTTATTTTGAAAGCTCGACGAATCATTAGAATAATTAGAAGTTTTCCCTATTTTTCTTCTGTAAAAATCTAAATTCCTAAATTGCAACTGAAAACTCCAAGGGGGGGGAAAGAAAAAAAAAAAAAAATAAATAAAAGCAAGACCTTCCCCCTCCCCCTCTCCCATCCTTTTGGCATCCTTCCCTACTGTTTCTGCAAGAATTTCTCCTGAAGGACATTTCAAGGTTTCTGGTAGCAGACCAAAGTTAAAAACAATGGATTAAAACAGCCCAGCTGTAGCTAGTTTTCCTTACAACCATTATACAACATCATACAGCAATCAGAACATATATTTTATTTTCCACCTGTATAATAAATCAAGACATTTTTATTGAAGGGGGAGGTGGATTCAGCTTTTCTCAGAAAAAGGTTACAACACATATATATGCATCTAAGGCACATACTCCTAGTGGACACACAAAGCCAGATTTGGCTCTATAAGCATGCAAGAACAAATCAATACACAACTGGGCAAATAACTAATTCATCTGATAAATTTTGCCTTTCTGCTCGTAACATATCCCAAAGCATACTGGTAGTTTCCAAAAAATGATATATGTGCTTACTCAGTAAATTTTTATTTTGTTGCTTGTTTGCATATATTCAGAAGTCTGGGCCCCTATCTAAACAAGAGCAATCACATGCCCACCATGGCATCATTTCTCTGCATGAAATAGTGTTTGCAGTGCAAAGCTCTTTAAGTGTGATTAAAAAAATTAAAGCTGAGGAAGCCAGAGAAGTCAGGACAGATAACGAAAAAGGCTCCATCCACTGTAACTGCCAAATCCCAACACACCTCTTTGGCGTGCAAATTTGTATGACTCTTCCTTCTTTATACTAAAGGTCTGCATCATAACTGACAGTCACCACCACCCAGTACCCACCACTGACATGTCCATCTGAGCAGCATCAGGAATTACCTGGTTATACGGGTAAAAGAGGGTACAGACAGCACAGTATGGCTCACTCAGGGCAGCAGCTGCATTGAATTTTCTTTCAGCTGGGAAATTATGTGCTTTATTCTTCCACTGAAGGGAAAGTAAAGACTTCAGAGCCTCTGGGTCACTCATATCTTCCTCCCCAGAAAATGGAAATGTTTCTAGAAAGAAAAAAATCCCAAAATAATGGACAGTCAGTACAGGCAAAACAGTACACAGACAGTAGAGGCAAAATGCAGCAAAGCAGGGTTAAACAAGTAACATTTTGACAACACAAGAAGTTCAATAAATAAGAACATTCAACTCATCCATGGTTCCTCCTATGTGTATGCTTCAAATACTTCCTTAAATGGATATAATCTCCACTTTATGCGTAGAATAGCCAAGGTAGAGACACTGATGACCTAATGAAACTGGCCATGAGGGAGGAGAGAGAACCTGGATTTACAGCCTTCATAACTCTCTTCACTTTCTAGCTGTGGAAACCTACATCATCCTTTTAGTGAAGCCAGGTTCAAAATGCACGACGCAAGTGGAAGGAAATCCCCCTTTCCCTTCTCCAGCTGGGAGCTGCATTTTCTGGAGGACACGCATGCAAGTCATGCTGGTTTGGTTAGGCCAGCTCCCACTGGCCAGCAGCAAGTCTGCTTCAACCTTCCCAAATTGCATCCCATACCTGTTTCTGCAAACACGAACCTTGGCCAGGAGGTATCCTGGGTTCAAGTTCTCATTTTACATTTCTGCAGCTGCTTCACAGCTACTTCCATCAAGCGCACACCACTAAGCCTTCAATTTGCATTCACCACCACGTCTTCTTCTGCCAGAGCTCTGATAGGTACTGCTTGTGCTAATTAGTTTGCTAATTCTCTATTTTCACAAAACCTTTAAAAGGCCCTTGGCATTTTATGATTAAACCACCACAGAATCCATTTGTGTCAGTTTGGGTGTCCAAGTTTCTTACCATTCTTTATTAAGGAATTTTGAATCACTTTAAGTGTTAAAGAAATTTTCCACACAAGACAAAGTGTAAATCACTCATTGCACTGTCAAGCTGCAAAGTTTCCAATAGAACAGTTTTGGCATGGGGAACTCAAAAACTTCTTAGTGGAACATTATCCCCAGAGCTCAGCACATTAAACCAAATTGTTCACTGCTTCACTGTTAATTACTGGAAATACGCAGTTAATGTTCTGGTCTCAACAAGTCTGTCTCTTCCCCACTTCTACCTCCCTTTTAAGATTTTCAGTCTTACGTTACCAGAGAGGATAAAAGAAACGTGTAGTAAAACACTAATGGTTACATTTATGTCTCATATTTTAAATGTTACCCTCAACTAATCTATTGGCCATACAAAGTGGGAAATTTTATCGTGTCTAATTAATAAATTCTTTTTTTGAGATGATGAATACTCTCTGTCACACTTCAAATGAGGGTCACTTCCTAAAGAGTCTTTTCTTACTATGTTTTTATTTTTATCTTGGTATCCAAAGGCTAACAATAATTGCTAATACCATAGCCTTTTCCCCAGCTGCATAGAATTCTGCTGGAAAGGGAGACAAACAGAAACAGCCTCGCCAGTGGGTGAGTGAGGCTTTCCTTCCTAGAGAAAGATACTGCCCACGCCAGGAGCTGCCTCCCAGTTCAGCGTGTATCAGACCAGAGCTGCCCCCCGTAACAAAACAGGACCTGTTCTACAGTCTTAACTTCAGCTGCAGGTGCTTACGTGTCCACACCTTGTGTAAGGCATAGGCAAAATTTAAAAAAGGCCAGTGACCTCAGGTATGCAGACTGATACTTTCAAGTTGTCTTACTCTCAAAGCAGAGCTCAACCCTCAGATTTTGAAGAAATCAAGCATCCTTAATGACATTTTAACACATGAGCCAAAACCTAAACCACATGTTTCTCCAAATTTTAGTCAAGGCACGTCAGGAGACAGGCATGGATTTATGATACTCATGAAATCAATGAAACCAGCATCATAATCCAGAGTGACAGACAGAGAAAAAAGGAAATGACTGTTCTATGTTATCATCACCTTCACTCATCCCAGGATGGATTCTAGGTGATACACAGCATTCAGGATGGCTCCTACATTTCAAGCAAGTCATATGCAAGTAGAAAAGACTAACAATTTGTCTCAACTGAATCTCAGTGTAGCATATGCATCCCCTTAATTTATATGCTCCCTCTTCCTCGCTGCAGCCTCCAGATCATCCTTATACATTAGCCCTGACAAAACGAGGAGTGCAGAGAGCTGCTTCTATTCTCTGGCAGGGAAGAGAAGAATCTGTTTGATCAGATTTTGCCCAACAGTGCTGTAAATCAGTCCCCAAAAAATGCCAGCTTTTGCAGAAAGTTGCTCCTGAGTCAGCCAGCAAAGTCCCCATACACCACCCAACAAGTCAAAACAATGACAAGAATCTGTTTAATGAGCACAAAAGTTTGTTGCAAGGTCTCACACCAAAACAAGAGAACTACTCTCAACTGCCTTTCAATGCTTCACTCCATATTACACACATGGAAGACATCAAATGCATCATCCTTGGTAAGGAAAAGGAGTTATGTATGTACAGAATACCCCCTTGCTACACAAAGCTTCTCTAAAATCAGTGGGTATATTCTCTGAAGGGAAATGAACAGCAAAGACGTTGTCCTTTTGAATATAAAGTTTTAAGTACCTTGAAAGCAGGGACTTCCAATTACACCTGCAGGTACCTGCCCCAGCATGCAAAAGCTTCTTACTGTAGACTTTTCTACATTCTGAGTGCTTCAAATGTGGGCAAGACCCAGAAGTGGTAAATGACACCACACAACAGAAGTGAGAGATAAGTTGTTTGGGTTGTTTTTGTTTTTGGTTTTTTTTTTTTTTTAGTCTAGACTGTTACGGCATTCACAGTGACTGGAATGGACTGGAATGAGGGAAAAGAAAAATCAGTGATGTACAGTTAAACACTGAGAGACTTTCTAATTCTCATTTCTACATCTGCCAAGAAAAGTTGGACCCGAACATTCACATGAATTAAAATGCCAACCAAAAAGTTAGAATTAACTTTCCCCATACACATAACAGCCGACCTAACCTCCACCTCCCTCTGAGGTGAACAGATCTCATTTTAATGCAAAATCTAAGATGGAGCTTTTACTTTAAGATGTTATTTTCTGTGAACTCTCTTCTCCCTTTGCCCAAAATGCTGCCTCATTCTGCAGGCAGCAAAATATTTTTCTTGAGAGAAAAAGGGGTGGGAGGTGAGAAGGGACACCTCCCACGGATGAATTTTGTTTCCAGCTGGGTTATCAAAATGGGAACATGCTGCATTTTCTATCAGTTAAGTGTAACACAAAAAGTTTCAGGCCATCCAGTTATGTTAATGGCTTCAACAATTTTTCAGATCAGACAAGCATTCCTAATGCTAGTGCACTCACCCTCATCGCTCGAGGTCTCCTGTTTAACCACTGACAATGGGGAGCGGGTTGGTGGTTTGCCCAATGGATGACGACGACTCTTTTTTATCTCCATCTTCAGTTTTGAAAAAGCAGAAGCAGTCTGTAACAAACCAGAACAAGATAGATGGGAAACCCAAAACATATGGGCAAGCAAAGGAGAGTACAGGACAACAGAGGCAGAATCCTTGTCCTAGAGAGTTCTTGAATTTACACAGCAAACTTTTCACTGCCTTTTGGCTGCAATCAATAAAGCCTCCCAAGCCAATTACTGTAGTAGATAAAGCCAATGCTATCTCTTAATATGTCGGGTAAAGGTAAACTACAGTGTTTTCTTAAAATCAGAACAGCCTCAAGCCTGCCAATTCTATTAGCTTATAAAAAGTCTGGTCAATCACATAAACAGCTAGGAACTCTAGCACGAAAATTATGTACATGGCATACAGGACCAGAAACATTTTACTAGAACATTACAGTGTGTTTTATGACAAGCATATTTATATTGTACTGTACCCACTGCCCCATGTACCAGCCAACACTGAAATGTATCATGCAAGCATCCTAACCACAGGGCCTGATGGTCCTCTTTGGTGTAAGGCACTGAACGCCCTACACGTGAGTTACTTTGCACTACAAATCAACAGTACCATGTGCTTTGGATCACAAACATGAAAACAAGCAGCAGTGCTACAGCATTAAGAATGAAATCCAAGTACATTCCACATTAAGTAGGAGTGAGAAGAGATGAAGGTACTTATTACAGCCCAGCAGAGCACAGAGGTTTTTTGCTCTCTAGTCTGCAGCCATTGTTTTAGACACATTTGCACGAAAGGCACACTAACTGTGCCGTGCTGGTATGGCAACATACCGTCCCCCCTATCCCCACAATTTCTAATAGTGCTTTGCCATTCCCTTGGCTCTTTTAGCAGCATCACGTAGGAAACCGGCTGTATCATATTGCTCTGACTTGCTGCTAATTGCTAAACATCTTCCTCCTTCCTCTTTTGGAAAATGTCCTCATGAAAGCACTCCCCAAACAAAAGAGATGCCTGAGACAGATTACGTGTCATGAACCGTAAAGATGAAAAAGTTTGCTGCCAACTTTTTGAATGCTAAACCTCATGATGAAAAAGATCCCTAGGCAACACTACATAGCAGGCCAACACCTGGAAGCATAAAGCACGTGCTGGAGAAGCATAAAGCACATTAGCTGGAGAAGTCAGAAATAAGGGAGAAGAATTATTAAAATGTTGGTGTGACCAAAGTTCCCCTGGGGATTGTCTGGCTTTACGACTCAAAATAGTTGCTCTGCAGCAGCTGCTTGTGCTGGGTCTTCCTGCCTACCATCTGAGATGATCATTTCAGTATTATCCGTACTAGCAGTAGCGGGAAAGGAGATTCTCTATCTTATCTTTTGAAGACAATAACAAGTTTAACTAATCAGCTAGCATCAATGCAATGATGGATGGAACTATGAGAAAATAATCAATCTCTTCCTGTAAAAGCACTCTATGGCTCACCAAAATGACACTATTCCACTGGAGGCTCAGGCACAATTGAGGACTCCTCTCATTCCAAGTCTGGTCCTCAACTTGCTGCTTAAAACTCGCAGATCTTATAGTCACCACCTTGGTCATGGATACCTGTAAATCACTGACCTCTGTAGTGATCTCTGTATTTTCTGCTTCTGCATTCTCCTCCTCCTTCACAGGGATTTCCATAGGGACCGTCTGCTCCCGCCAACTTGGACTCTTTTGGGTGGCAAACTGCTCAAACGCCTGCTGGCAGGACATGCGCTCCTTGTCAAACACCACCTTTTTGGTCCGTGGAACCACATAAAGCATGGGAATGATTGGCCGAGGTTTAAAGTCATCCTCCTCAACTGGTGCCTCCGAGGGCTGGATAATGTTCAGAGGAGCTGGGGGCAAGCTCTTCTCTGCCGTGGCCGCTGTGGGTACCGCCGGGGGTGCCGGTGGCCGCGCGGCTGGCGCCTCGTCCTCGGCCAGCTGCTGCTGCGGTGCCGGCGGCAGCGGCGGCGGCTGCGGTGCTGGCAGATGGTGCTGGTGCTGATGGAAAAGGTGCTTCTTCTTCCTCTCGCCTTTTACTTTCGGAGGACGGGCCTTCGCTTTGCTGTCACCTGTTTCAAGAGAATAGGTAACATTTAACTTCATACGCTGAGATTTCCGGGCATTTAATATTTCTCTCCTTTCATCCAACAGCTCCCATGTTGGGCTAACATATTACATTATGGTATTTTTCATCCTTTCAAACAGGCAAACTGAACGGTGCACACATATTCAGCTGTACTTCAGCACTGACTTAGAGAAGCCATCTTCAGAAAGAAAAGACTTGTATCATTTCTATAGACTATTTAAATTCTTGACTGGAGCGGAAAGACTGACAAAATGAACACTGCCTGGAGGGAAAATATCTAAACCCCAAAGAAACTGGACAGTGTGTCAAAAAACATGTAATATATTACATTAGCCCTGACTCTCTATTTCAAGTTTTCTTTATCAGCAGTCTTTAAAGTGGGGAACACAAAGCCATCCATCCACTGGTGTGCAGGAAGAAAATATTTTTGTACCATTCATAAATAAAATACATCTTTAAAATAGTGTTTCTTTTATCCTTTTCTCATCCCTTTTTTATATCTCTACTTTTGTGCATGTTTTATAATGGACATAATAAATTAGCACAGCAATACATGCATAGATTTTATAAATAAAATACAGCTTTTATAAACAAATATACCTATATTGGGAAGTATGCTCATATTTTTTTTGCTGATAAGGGGGCACAATCACAAAAGTTTGGAGACCACCATTCTAAATCATGTTTGCCCTAGCCTCTGGACCACCCTCATTTACTGCTCCCTCTATTTGCAAGCAGAGCTCTTATCCGAGTATTACTGTGTGTCACTGCATTCAACAGCCCTAGGAAATGAAGAATTGAACAAAGATACCTGAATCATTATTACCAAAAGGTTTCTACTGTAAGGTCTTTTAAAAGGATGCCTTTAAAGCCTAAATCAAGTACAGCATTGAACTAAGCCTATTACAGACACCATGCCAGCACTGGTTACTGAGATATCCTTTCCTAACACTCGCTCTATTTGTCCTTGTTTCTCCCAGCTTACTGTCATTCATCCTATCTGCATAGCACTGCAGGTCTCTTACATGGCTGTGACAACAAAACCACTTCTTGAACCGACAGATGGCTCGGTATTTTTACCAGAGGCAGTAATGACCCATAAAAGTCTCCCCCACCTATCGCCCCAATATAACTCTGCTAAAGGATCCACGCACACTGATTCTACAGCAGTAATTAAAATTCCTGCTGGCCACTGAGTGAGTGTCTCTAGATTAAGACAGGAGATGCCTTCACATCTTGCCTTATTCCATCTAAAATGATGTATATTCCCTTTGCCCAACTCTTCCCTCACTTCATGAATGAAGTTGTCAGTTCACTAAAAGGAAAGTAAATAATAGATGCTCCACAGACAGATGCCAGTGCTCATTTCATAAGAGATTTGTTTTTCACCTGCAGATGCTATGACTAGATGACTCTACCGCAAAAGGTCATTTTCCCACTAACAGGATGGGGAGGAGGGCTGATGACAGTGAAAGACAGAGAAAGACTATTCACCCTAATAATGATGCTTCACCAATCCCAACCTACTCACGACTCCTCCATTAATGACTGGATCAAAGCTGACCAGCCAAACGTAGTAAACAGAACAACAGATAAATCATCACACCATAATGAGGTATCTGCAGGAGGAAGGGCCTGAAAAGATGAGGCAAATAATCCCACAATAAGATAACATCCCAAAATCCCACCTGAAATCATCTAGGGGATACCTCAACCTCAACATTTCCCAGAAGTCTGGTCTGATGACTTTATTTACACTAATTTATAAAAATGGGAACAAGTCCATCACAAATAGTTATTGTTGTACTTGTGTAGGCAGTCCCTCAGATAAACTGGTTTGTTCTACCACAGAGAAAGGAATATTGAATTTCCTTAGAGAAACAAACACATTGAATGAAAGGCAAATTGGATTTTTCCCCAGTTGCACAAAACCAGATCATATTTACTCTCTATACACTTGGAGAATTCTCTGCGCAACAACAAAACAAATGCCATTCACCAGCTTTACTGACTTCTAAATGGGTAATCTGACAGCAGCTGGCATGCAGAACTTTGTTTAAAAGTTTCTGCATTTAGATGAACAAACTTGTTTGCAAGTGAATCTATAAAACCTGAAGCCAAGAAAAAGTGAGGTAAAATTCAAAGTCCCTATCTGGCTATCATGAACACTTCTAGAAAGGAAAGAGATCTTCATGCACAAATCCACTGGTAGGTTAACAGAGGTAGACCACATAGAAAACAGTAGTATGACAATGTTTTTTCATGGTGAGAAGACAAGCTTGTCTAGAGATAATGTGAAATGCTATATGGAGTTCACTGAAGTTGCATGTATGCAGTAACTTTGAGGGGAAGGGATGCTGGTGGGCAAATCAAACCACTTACATAGGCCCACACACCATAGCTTTGGGCAGTGAGATTATAAAAAGCTGCTACACATGTATGGACCTCACCTGCTACAGCAGTATCTCTTGGTATTAGGCAAAGAATTAGAAATGGACTTCAGTATCAGTAATTTAGCCACAACTGTTATACTGTCAACAGCTCAAAAGAAACTGTAAATTAGATTTACTAATCTAGCAGAAGCACAAGCATAGAGATAAGATTAAACTCAACACAGGAGAAAGCAGGAGAGTTTTTTGCCAGCACATCCCTCTAATACAGCACTGCATCCTTCAAGAAGATGCCTGTGTTTGTGTAATAGTTGCACTCAAGGGTTTTTCTTCAATCCACATGGGAGACTGCTGTAGATAAAGTAATCATAAAGACTGTTCCACCATCCCAAAGTTCCTCCTAAACACCGAGTTTGCATTTTCACTTTCAACAGCATTCCTTACTTGTAGGAAGATAATATTACCCTAGAGCAATCCCTACACGCCCAGCATTTATGTCCTGTACATCACCTATGCTAACAGAATATGTGAATGTGACTGATACAAGACCAGAAAGCAAAAGTGGCAGGAAAATATCTTCTACTTGCTTCTAGGGGTTGTGTCTGCTCAGTTGTTGTCAGAACTTCATACAGCACATGCTACAAACATGTAGATGGCCACAGTGACTGCTAGCAGATTTCTGAAAAGGCTCTATTTTTGCTACATAATGCTAGAAAAGTCCAGAAAGTCTCCAGGACAAACTCTTGTGCTATGGCGTTGTTTCATGATAATCCATCCCATTAAACAGCCTCATCTCTTAATGGCTTTACATTGCCACTGCAGAAAAATCAGTGAGAGACCAGCCACTACTTGACAGTTGGCCAATTCTTGAGATCTTGCCTGAAGTTAAACCCTCATGTAGCAAGCGGTCATCTAAAGATCAGATTTGCTATTACATACAGGTAACAGCAGAAAAGTTTTCAGTTCTGGTTTAGTGGCATCTTGATCACAGTATTACTTCATGTAATTATGTACTTAGTTTACCAATGCAACACTCAAGAGGATATGTGGGAATGCCATCTAAAGAAATGTGGTAGAAAACAACACACAACTATTTTGCAGTTAGGCATCTCATTGTTTTTTCTCACATTATAAAAAAAAAAAAAAAATCCTGTAATAGATATGGTTTGTAGTGCAGGACTGAAGGACTCTGATCAGGCACAGCATCGCAGGTAACACCCACTGACTCTCAGGATGCATTTAGGCTGCTTAGCACACCGAGAAGCGCAAAGCCTAACGACTCTCCTTTTTAATTTCAAGTCCCAAGACAACCTGCTAAGAATTCTAAATACAGGAATAGCAACATAATAAATTATTAATATAAAGCTGAGTCATAAAAAACAAAGGAAAACACCTTAAGGTATCTGGGTCAGAAATCCTTAAAACCTCAAGTTATTAATACTCAGACAGATCAAATAATCAACATGAAACATAAGACCTACTTTGAACCTACCAATGATTACTTAGAAATCTCATTCTTCCTCCTTCTCAAGGTCATTTTTTCTGCTGTAAGCAGAGAATCAAGCCAAATTAAAACCAGAGGAATAGAAAAAGGAAGTGAAGGTGGTGGTGGGGGAAAGCTAAATTGCCATGAGCAGGGACATCCAAACAGATGCTCTTTTCTTTTTCAAGATGAAACTGAGACACAGTTGTGAGAGGTAATGCAGACAGTAGGATGTGGGAAACTAGAGAATCATTGGTATTTAATTGCTATACAGCAAATATAAGAGTTTCTTAATGCAAACAGCCACACTGAGCACTAGACCCCCCCCAGAAACCGCAAATAGTCTAGTTCTAGTGACGCCTTCTGAAATGGTGCTGAAAATAAGTTTTTCCCTCCTGTGCTAACAGTTAAAGAGCTCTTAACATGTAGTGTAAGTGTATGATTTGGAACCTATTCAGCTAGAACAGAGTCTTTATTGTTCCTCTGCCATTCTAAGGATCTCAGATCTGTCCTTGTCACTTATCTCTTGTCTCCAGAGGGATATCAGCATTTTCAGGCCATTTATTACAAGCATCAACTGCTGAACTTGTACAAGAGCTAAGAGCATACAATTTAACACACTGCTGACACTTTCAAGCTTAGGGCAATAGAAATTAACTATCTGCACTGTAAAACAGTGATTTTCAAACTCCTTATTTCCCATGAAAGGAAAAAATACACTGTCTAGCTAAGAGACTCTGGAACTCAACAAAGACCTCAATTTTTTCCCCAGAGTTTCCACAGATTTCCTTTAAGATCATCATCAAGGTTCTCTAAGCAGTTTGCAGCATCAGTTTTCTCTAAATGCCAAACAAACAATGGATATATACAATATATGAAAATAAATTCACTAGTGTCTATGAAATGCTCAAGAGTGCCTCAGAGAGAGTTCATCATAGACACATCAACTACTTTAACACACACATTAAAGGGAAAAAAGTAGCTTACTCCCAGCAAAAATTGCAACCTTTCATACACAGCCAAGACAAAAAATGGTATCACAAAAAGAGCCTCCAGCAAGATGGCTGAGGTCAGGCCTTTGGACTAACCATATGCAGAAGGACTTGGAGTTGTCATGGAGTGGTATTAAATTCAGCCATGCAAAGAAAGCTGAAAATCTTCCCTCCTACAGCTACACTTGAAGAAAACCAAACCTGCAACTTGGACTCATGCAGCAGCTGTGAATCCCACACAACCTAAGGCTGACTTTATTCAGTCTCAGTAAGAAATGGGGAGGGAAGGAAAGGGAAAAGATTAATTGCACAAGAGAGTTCACAAATCATTCCATTTCCAAGTAGGACGCAAAATCTATTTATTTGTTTCTCTATGAAATATCAAAAAATATTCCTCCCCTAATATATATTTTTACAAACCTGTAATAGTTTGGGCAGAACTTTCAAGTCCTGCCAGGAAAGCTATTTGGACTGAATCCTCAAAGAGAGGGAAAAAAAAAATCAATTGCTCCTGTAAATGATGGTGTATTTCAGTGAGCATAGATTTAATATTGGGAAAGACTCCATTGGTATTTCAACAGAAATAAACAACAGCAGACAAGTTATTTACAAAGGTGTTTTAGAGAGATAGCTTGCCCCAGTTTTTCACTGAAGTGATCTGCCATCAGTGAGCAGGGCCCTCACCTTCTCCCTCAATCGCTTTGCTTCTCTCCTCTTCCTCTAGATCTGGCCCCCTTTTCAGTTCCTCTTTTACTTTCACATCTTCCAAGGCAGTTTCAATAGCCATGACATCCCCAAGAGACTTCTGATCCTCTGTTTTATGTCTTCTGGGTTGACTTCTTTTTCTGTGAGACCTAGAAGTACAGAAGTGTGATTTGACATAAAAGAGCAGCCTTCAATATATAAAACGATCATTGACTTAAAAAGCTGAATACAAAACAAAAGGAACCTCTTTGGAGAGAAAACACAAGGTAGCTAACAATAGCTACAGGGCAAAACAGATATCTGAAAGGAAACAGATGAACCTTGCATAACGTAACATTTAAGATCCATTCACAGCAGCAATTAATTGTCCGGGTTTCTTGAAGAGCTTTTCCCCACCATTGCTAATGTAAGCTCATGAGCTGCAGTTAAAATTATTTTAATTGTATTTTAAATCTATTCTGCTTGTATTTCAAAATATAGATAAAAACTTGTTATAAATCTTTCTTTCATCCTCCGCCTCCATCCCATAATTTCTTTTCATTCTGTACGTGCTTTGCTTTGGCAAACTGCTGGAAGTCTGCAAAGCATCATCTTCCAGCTCTGAAACATTACCCAGCACTGCCAGTTTCTAAAAACCCAGTATAATGAATGCTTATAGCATAGTCAATAGGCAGTCTATGATTTTTCAGTAGTGTAATTCACAGGGCCCAAGGCCCATGAAGAAGTCTAACCAGAAAAAGTGCATATTAATATGATCAGACTAATGCTAACAAGCCAATAGCAATGCTGTTCTTTCTGAAGAGTCAATGCCACTAAGACAGAGATTACAGCAGCCACAATGCAAAGAAAAATGCAAACTCAGAAGTCAGGAGAATGTCTTTTGGTTAGGAACCATATTAGGAGCCAGGTACCCGCACAGACACGCACTGACTCCCCACCACTCAAGTGGGACAGGGAGGGAAAACAGGAAGAAAAAGAGCTAGGAAACTTGTAGGTTGGGACAAAGACAGTTCAATAGGTGAAGGAAAGAATAAAAAGAGAGAGAAATAAGCAAAGGAAATGCACTCACCATCTCCCATGGGCAGCCAGTCTCCAAACAACAGCCAACTTGGAAGCCAGCCCCCCTCCCCCCTTCTTCTTTCTCTACCCCAGTTTTTATTGCTCATCGTAACATTTTATAGTACAGAATATCCCTTTGGCCACTTTGGGTCAGTTGTCCCAGCTGGGTGGGCAGAGTGGGGCAAAAATAAAGCCCTGGCACTGTGCAAGCACCTTTCAGCAATGCCAAAACATCAGTGCCTTATCAGCACTGTTGTAGCCACAAATCTCAAACACAGCACCCTGGGCTGCGATGAAGAAAGTTAACTCCATCCCAGCCAGACCAGTGCAGTATTTTTACAGGATCTATTAAACGTCTCCTGGAATGTTGGGTTTACGTCTAACAAGATCTCTTTTGAAAAAGAGACCAATTCAGAGACCTGCAGTTTTTACACAATTTTTAGCATGTAGACACTTTCCTTTTTTTTTTTTTTTTTTTTTTTTTGGAATGCAGCATCTTCCATATGGCCTTGCATCTATCATCATGTAACAAACTGTAAAACACAATCACACTGCATTCATCGGCCCAAAACTCTAGAAAAGCTGAAATTCAGCTTCCCATCCTCAGAGCCCAGAAACTCGGCTGCTAATTAGACTTGGAGTACAATGGAGTTAAGAGCCCTTAATCAGGTAACCAACAAGGAAGGAAGAAAAAAAATTCAACCCAAGATGAATGATTAATAGAAAAGAAAGTTCATCCATATGCACAGTAGTTTATAATTGCTAGGCTCTAACCATATGGTAGCCCTCCAAGTATAGATGTTAACTTCACACCTGCAAGACATTCATTAGCAGGAACACACAGCTGAACCCAGAAGGATCAACTTTTCTCTTCACTTAGAATATAAGTACACACCACCTTCTCTGGGAGGTAAAAGCAAGGTGCAAGGAGAAGATAAACCTGTAAGACTTCTCCACTGCAGCTGGAACTTTCCACAGTTGGTAAAGAAAGCAGAGTACAATCAAATGTTGCAGGCTATTTTTACTAAAGTGTGTGTTTTACTCCTGTGGTGTAGAAATGCCAGGCAGAAATTAAATCACAAAGCTTTATACTCACAGCAGATAAAAGAGATCTTTTTGCAGTGCTCTTCTTACTCTGAAGTTGTGGGAAAATGAAGAAAGGCAGAAAGCACATAATTTAAAGAAACTGTGTTTCCAGAAATACAAGTTGAAGGCTGTACATTTCCAGAAGTGAAGATGTTCTCTATCTGACATAATCCGTATACCAGAAATGGGCTTTTTGTGGACTAGACTAGAACAGTCTCTAGCTGAAGCCATAAAGTAAACAAAGTTGAGTTTTTCCAAGGTAACTAAGTATGAATGACCTTAGAGAAAAAATAACATATCTCTCTGCAGAGTTTAAAAGCTACATTTTCCAATACAGCTGGCAAAAAAAGCAGCATTTGTACTCTTTGAAGAACAGACCACAAAGTGACTTAAATTAAGTAGATACAACTGTGAAGAGGTTTGGGCAGAGGTGAATCCCATTCTTTCAGCAAGTCCATCCTGCTGAGAAAGTCAGTCTTCAAGTAAAATTATGTCTTTCCAAGAGATAAGGGCAGGAGAGAGACTACTGCTAAGCAGTATTCAACAGCATCAAAACTGCTTCAGGATAACATGGAAATAATCTAGGAAACAATTAATAGATAAGGAAAAAAAGTACCTGGATCTTTTGCAATAGGCTCAGGTTAAGAGAGAGGCTTCTCTGCTAAGCAATAAGCTCAAGGAGGGAAAATAATTCTTGATGTTCATATAGTACCTTACGCTGGGCAAACATTACATATATCTAAGTAACCCATAGTAGCCACAGGCAGTAAAGAGATTCCAAATTTCCAGATGTGAAGGAAAAAGATCCAGGGCCCCAGTGGAGTTCAGGCAGTCACTGCCCAGAGAGCGTAAGTCACGACTTCTGACTCTGAGACTGCACGGCTTTTCCTGAAGCTCTCCATAGAAGGAATAGCTGAAAACATTTTAGGAAGATAACCTCTGGAGTGGAGCAACACTGTAGAGGTCGGTTACCTGCCAAAATACCCTGTTTATTATGGCTTTTGGACATGGATTTAATGGGGAACAAACTATCCCATTGCAGCATTTGTAAAATAATGGACACATCATTTCACATCAAAAAGGCAAGACACACTACCACCAGTCCAAAGCAACACTGGGTGACTGAAAACTCCTGGAAGACAATAAACATCAGTGCTAGAGAAACAGAGATGCTCTTAATACTAGGTTATATTTTTCTTTGCTAGAATGCCTAAACAGATCAGCTATCTTCAAATTATTAGGTCAATATTTTTTAAACTGTTACTCAACGTCCCTATCAAAGATGGTCCCAGGAACGTAAAGTCTATTTAAAGCATTTCTCCTGAATTTCCAAGTGAAACTGGAACGGCAATTACAAGCACAATATTACACCTGGATGATACAGTACAATTTCCACAGACTGCCAACACTCACACCAGAAATACAACAAATACTAGATGAGAGCAGAAACAAGTAAGCTCGTGTGCTACACTGCAAACATTCTGGGTAACAGGCAAAGCTGGAATGAGAATGATGTAAAAAAGGTAAGGGAGCATATGGAAGGGCACATGCTTGACAGCTGAGTACATTAGAACCCTGTGATAATTCAGCCTCCTAGAATACAGAGTCTCATTCTTCAAGTAAGCTTGATGAGAAAAGAAAGTTCTCCCATGTCTAAAACACTCTAGTTCAATTCCACTTCCTGAGACAGCAGCAGCATTTTATTAACTATCTGCTTTGGTGTCCAGGTAGCTTTATCCACAACCAGTTAATCATTGCACATCACTACCAATTTAGTAGTAGATAAACTGCACGCTCAGGAATGGAAAACCAGAACATAGCTGAGGTTCTCTAATGATGCAAGAGATGATCTCGGAAAACTACACAAAACCAAGATGAAGTATGAGAAACCTCAATGCCCAAAGATTTTCTGTGCCCTTTCAAGGAAGCAGATATGAAAAAACTAACTGAAAAAGGAAAACAGAGTTACTATTTTAAGAAACTTGACAGGAAAAAGAATGAAGTCATTTAAGTTGATGAGGGAAGTCACATACCGGTGTTTGTTGTCCTCTTCCTCATCTCCTATCCTATAAAGCAAGATTCCAACAGTAAGAGGTTAGCATGCCAAATTTTCAATTGAAGCATGCTATAACACACAAAAACCACAAACTTGTAGAAAATTAATACAGAGATCAAAGGAAGCACAGAAAGGCATGCATAAAATTCCTTTTGCAATAGATGAGAGGTTTTTCCTCCAGCTTTCTGATAAGTGAAGCTATAAATGTTTACTATAGATTTTTTGTCTTCCAGGATAAGAGATGAGATGTGAGGGGGCAGAGAGCGTCCTATTTTCAGAAAACATATGCTTCTATAACATTTAAAGAAAAGAGAACAATGAGGGAGCACAATATCCAAGAAAAATTAAAAGAATAATTGTGTAAAAAAAAAACAAAACTAAAACAAAAAAACAACAAAAAAAAACCAAACCAAGCAAACAAAAAGTTTGAACTATCCCACTATCTCAAATTAGAATTATAGCATTTAAAATCCTAGCAATTAAAAATCAAACACAGTGCTCAGACACAACTTTTTTTTTTTTTTCCTCTCTACCTGCGGAGCAATTTAGCCTTCAACTCTGCTTTTGTCTCATTCCAGGCATCTAGTTCTGGGCTCGTCAGAGCTGTGGGTTTCATATGGTCCAGGACAGCAATGTCTTTTCCTTGTTTCCACAAATCGTAACGTTCTGGTTGCAGAACCCTCACGAAGACATCCATGGAAATCTTCACCATATCTTTGCGGCAAGTGCACTGCAAGAGATAATCAGACATCAACACCACGTCAGATCAGAGGAAGGTTTTCTTTTCTTGTCAGCTGAGGTTGACTTTCTCCAGAGGCAGACTAACATTCTACCCATTTTGTCTGTAAAGCCCACGCTGGGTTAGCAGGGTGGGTCAATGCTACGAATCGCATTGACGTGTATTTGGGGATTTCAGCTTCATGGAAAGCATTGACTCTACCCGCCCTTGGCCAAGCCAGAGACATGAGCTACCGCACTCTCCAGGGGTAGCTGAAGACTGTTCCCAAGAACTGCCTTCTCCCCCTCAAAACCCACCAACCAAGCTAAAACTTTCTGGTGACTGGTACCCAGTATACTACTCATCTACTGTCTTACAGTCACTAGACAGTAATAACTTTGGCCGATGTAGATCAGGTCTGAGTCTGATCTCAAATTTACATTCCCTCCATTAACCAGCCTCTTGCAGAGTTTCTCGGGTTGAAAAGAGATAATATTAATATAAATTTATAACTGAAAAAAAAGCCTAGTGAACAAGGCAGCCAAATTTCACATTTATACATCATGATGCTGCACATAAATCCTTCAGAAGACTGTAGAGAAATAAAAAAGGCTACAACAATAACTACATTCTGCATCTAAACCACATATGCCTAAGTCAAAGGAAATGTGCATTATTCATTTCAACTAGTATATGCTCATTAAAATTAGCCTTTGGAATTACACCCTTGCCATTGTATGAGCCTACACAGGCCTTACAGGCATTTCCACTTGGATATATGTTTGCTCTGATGAAGCATGGAATAAATAGATTGAGCTTTGCAAGGAGATTCTCACCCAGGACACAGATATCAGACTGAACGAGCATCCAGCCTTTATAAACTTCTAACACAAAAGAAGGTACAGGACTGAAAGGGACACAGCAATACACCAACACCCACTTGCCTCATGGGGGCTGCAAGTACAGCTTTGCTGTTGTGTGTGAAAAGTTGAGCCCCCTTTTCGTTCTGCTCTAAGCTGCAAAGCTTTGCTTGGTATGCACTTGCACTAAATTGCTTTTCAACTTCAAGTTGAGGATGAGGTAATCACAGTCACTTTGCAGGACTATTTTTTCACCCTTCCTCCACACATTTTCAAAACTATTCTATCCTTTCTCTTAGCAGAAAGGTATGAAACTAAACTTGCTTCTCCTCCTTCTTCTTTCATTTTTCACTACTATTATTGAAAGATTTATGGCTGTAGTTAAGAAGCCACTGAGAGAGAGTCTTTCTGTACAGTTCTTGGCTATTCCACTTTCCTCCCAATTCTTATTTTTCATTTTGCAAAGACCACTGGCTACCTTCTGCTGCTCTGACTGGGAGAGTGGTAATAACCCAGTGTGCTGAGTGAAAAGGAGTATTTATGGACAGACACTTTCAGGAAAACTCAATTCATTTAATGAAAAATAGTGTGGGACAGAAAGGCTGGAAATGCAATTTGGCCAAAGAACAGCAGGAACACAGATGGTACCCATGCTTCAAATTCCTGGCTGGGCAGAAGCTTCACACCAGCATCTCCATCAATACTTGCTTAAGGGATTTGTATTGAGCAGATTTTCAATCACTTTTCCTTAAGAAATTTTAAAAGCACCTGTGCACTGCTACAAAGAGAAATACAGAAGAGCATCCCACAGCACACATCACCAGTGAGCTACGGAGACTGACCGCCTCTGCCTTTACAAAGTATGAAAAATGGCTTAAAAGGGGAACAAGTCCATTTTCTGATCCTAACCTGGAACCAACATGCTGCAGCACACACATGCCAATTCCTTCAAATCAAGCGGAGCAAATCCCAAGTCAGAGGAGTCTAAAGGTCTCTAGTATGCTCTCCTACCACTGCCAGCTTAAGAGCCTCACAAAAATGTAAAGTATACACAGATTATTGAGAAACCACATACTGAGCTATCTGGATGCTATTCAGACTGCTATTCAGAGAAATGACACTGTGGGCTGCAATCTCCAGCGTACCGCAACACAGAAGCCTGCAGTAGCCAAGTTCCTTTCTTTACACAAATCTAACATGATGTATGTTTATATTTCAATTTTAATTTAATTTTATTGCTTTCACACTAGCAAGCATGAATAATTTACAAAGCCTCTTTCCTTTGGGGCTTCTTCCGGACGATACAGTTATATTTCCTCAGCTGCTGCAGTTGTATCACATTCACGCTCCCGTAATGGCCAGGTTATTCTTCCATAGCCTTCCTTCAGCCCCACTGGTGAGATCCTGCTTAATACAGCAGATGCTTCCAACACAACTGCAAAAGGGAATGTGCATGTGTGCGAGGGGTAGGAGAGGGAGGAGAACGGGGAAGATCAGAGGAGGAGATGGTGGGTACAGAAGGGCAAGAAATCTCCTTTGCAATAAATCACCTGCTCTATTCCATTACAGCAGAACAAAAATAGCAAGCTTGTGTTTCCCTGTCAATAATACCCACTTCCATGTACTGCCTCCCCTTCCATATACACAGTTATATTTCTTTCAAATCATTTAATTCTGGTCATAAGCACACGTATTTCCTAGGAGATATTGTGCCTATACTCCCAAGCTCTGACTCTCCCTGTCCCAATTTCTGCAGAACATACCCTTCGTATTTCATTTTCCCCTCCCAAATTCTAACACTTCCATATTCCATTATTATTAAACTTCATAAAACAAAAAACAAACAAAAAATTAACATGTCTACACTTAAACACCACCACTAAGGTGAGATACAAAACCTCATTTTCTTTATGTGAGCCAAAACTGAGCCACAAAACCCCGATTCAGGTATTCACAGAACTCCTACATACCAGTAGACCTGTGAAAGATTTAAGAGCGATATGGTCACCCAAAGCACAGACCATGACTAAATGGCTACATGAAGGATACGCCTGTCATGTCAAAATGACAGGTGAGAAATTTAAGGAACTTTGAGATCTAATCAAACATCTTCCCGTCTGTCCTCTGTCGTTCCCTGTTCGGTAGCCTGACCACCACACCAAACTGCTCGGGAACAGCAAGGCTGTCAGAGCCACAGACCAAACAGAATATTCATAACCAGGATCTCCAAGGACTGACTGCAAGTCCTGAAAATGGGGGTGGAAAAAAACAACCAACCAAAAACTAAACTAAACAAGCAAACAAACAAACAAAACACAAAAGAAAAATCAAAACTGTTTTGGGGTTAGCTCTTTGCCTTCGGTTACAGGGGATCTGAGACCTAAAACAGCAACAAGACAAGAGAAGCTTTCTTAGTCACCAAATCTGCAGGAACTTAATTTGTTCCATCTTCTGAAGGCTTTTCCTAGCCTAATCTCTCCTTTCGCATAAGCTAATAACTTTGTTAACCTTACAGGATAAGAACATGCAAAAGCAACTTGCAATCTAAGCACATGCAAAAATACTCTAAGGAAATGCACAGTGAAGCACTTTTTAAACACAGAAAACCAACATTCTTCCTCTACATATTATTTTATTACCTGCTACTCAACGTCGGAGACCGTGGTAAGATATCTGACCACATCAGGAGCCCTGCCTCATCAATTATAACTCAAGGACTGATAGTGAGGAAATTTGTGGCTACTGAATGTGTAACCGTTATCTTATTTGCAGTATTTTTTTTAAATAAAAAACACTAATAAGTCTCTATAAAATAGCAGTCAAATAGAAAGACTGTCTCCTTGAAGTAATAAAATCAAATGATATATGGAAAAATGCAACCTCATTCAACCTCAAACTTCAGCATCATTTCTGTAAGGATATCTCCCTTACTTCTCAGCTATTAACACTAAACTGAACCCCATCTGTTCCATAACATATAAAAAGTTAATGTAAAATAACCCTTCTCCTTAGGTAGAAATAGTCACCAAAATGATATATTTAAATTGGCACCTCTGGTTCTCATGGAAAACCCCCTCACATTTAGATGAAATCAGGGCCCACTGCAAAGTCGTTTAAGGCTCAGCTAGCCTCTCACTTTGCCTTAATTGAAATTTAAATTTAAGAAAACCCAATGTGTTCAAAGTTGAAGTCCTCTCAGCTATTATGCCACCATTAAATGCCAGGCCAAAATCATTGCTTAAAGCTTTTCTACCTGCTTTTTCATAACAATGAAGCCTAAAAGCAAGTTCCTGTGAAAGAAAGATGGTTACATTCAAAAGGCAGCTAAGAAATTCTTGCTGTGTATTACAGGAAAACACATTGTTAATGCAGACAACACTCCTAAACTACTCTCCATAAATTTTCTGAACAAGGTATAGAGTTTCAGCTTTTGGGAGAAACACAAAGTCCTCCCAGTACAATACTCTTAAACAGCAATCCAATTTGTTATTGTATTACAGACGTGTTACTTGAGATCTAGTTAATACTCATCTATGACAGAATAAACCAGTTTGGGTTCCAGTTTAACTTCCCTTCCACTCACCCCAAAGCTACATTTGCACTCAGACCTAGCACAGCAATGCTCTCACAGATAGCCAAGGTTTCAAAAGTGCCAAAAGCACACAAATTGCAATGACATGCCTGAAAGATGAGTGGCAGGTATTCTGTAAGTAAATGAGGAGTTAACTTTGAGAAGGAGTAGAAAAACCTATAACACATAGTTTGTGTGTTTAATGGTTGGTAGTTGAAAGCTTGTGGGAAAGAAGATGAGTCTTGACCCCCTGTTTCTAGTATAATTACCAGCATTGCTGTAAGTCTCAACAACAAACCAGTTCATTAGGAAACCCACTGGAAATCCTCTATAGAGTTTCATAAACAAAACAATTAGGCAAAGATTTCCAAGGACTCCCCCTGGTCCCTGGCTGCAGGGCACACTTTCTCCTTGTGTGCTTCCTTAACTTGCTTCCATAATGCTCCATGTGGATTTCTGTGTGTAGGAGATTTGGGTAAGTGGCAAATGGTGTTAGCTGGGGAGTCAGATTTACCCCACTCCATTCATAGTAAGAGGATTCTGGTTTAAGATATCATATAAAATGCTATGGGACATGCTTT